TAGTTTATTCAACGCAAGAATCAACAATAAAAAGTTTGCCTTGAAGCTCATCAACGCTACCATCTCGCATACAAACATCAACGAAAGTTGATTCAAGGCAAGAATCTACGATAATAAGTTTACCTTCAAGCCCATCAACGMTGCAGTGGAATATGGAATSAAATTCGACAGCAATCACTCCAATGCATTCATCAAAAGAGGAATCGTTTCAATACATGATAATAGYATATATTGCTGTTGTCCTTTTCTTGTCCTGAYAYGAGWTKTTTGTGGTAAGCTTCTTGTACGAGCTTGTACTTATACTCATACAAAATGCAGCTTTATGCTAAAAAAACCCGATGACGTTATCGTTGTTTTCCCAAAGTTTTTTTAAAAGATCCCCAAAGTTTCATTAAAAAAAGGTAAGCGAAAAAAAATTGAATCATTTCTAAAAATAGAACTGACGCGCGCGTGTTGTAATAATAGTTTATTGCTACCATCATGGATAAAAAAAGTTTAACTTCTCTATATAAATTGAAGAAAAACAGTCGGTTTAGTCATTACAACCATGAGAGTCTTAAAAGTCACAGTCCTCAACAACAAGAATGAACCCGCAACTGTTGAAATTCTGAAAATAAGCCAAGGTTCTGAAGCAAGCAAGAGCGTCATTCTTTCCATAGCTTAGTGGCAAGGTTTGAAGAAGCAGATTGAATCTGTGGATAGGGAAATGCAATCAAAGATGAATCCTCGTAAATTACAACGGCAAAATGCAAACATGACAAATTTAGAAGAGATGTGGAAGAAGTTGAAAACGAATTAAATAGAATTTTGGAGAATGAGCACGGTGATTCATTGTTTGAACCCATCAAGCATCATCCTTGGGAGAATCGTGTGAAAAGATTTTGAAAAGAGTACATGGTTAATTTAATTTTTATTGATTTGTTGATGTATTTTCAATTTATTCAATTTTCTTTTTTTGTATTTGTTAATTCACTCGTGTTAGTATAACAAGATTGTACAAGCTATTTTTTGATTATTGATGTAATTATTAAATTTACTATACCTTTGAATTTCTAGTTGGTTGTACATAAGCCATCGATATTCCTACCCGATTAGTATCAATGAAGAACACTGTGTTATAAAGTTTTTATTTTGTTGCTACTTTCAATTTGATATCTCTCTTCTACTCTCTTTTTCGTATTCTTGATTGTCTATGTAATGGTCAAAAGGAAAGATAGCATTATCATCGGGGAAATTTGTGAGTGTTGCAAATTCCACTACATCACTTTCACCTATTTGTCCAATTGAYTGACTAATCTGAAACATCGCATTGTATAATTCTTCAATCCGTTACAGCTTCATCCATTAATTTTTAACACGATTTCTTTAGTGCAACCTTTTGCCTGATTGATTTGTTTAATAGAGTAATTTCGTTTCTTAATGATTGCTTAAATAAACAAAGCACCAGAAAACTTACCATCACTTTGGAATGGCGAGACTGGACAAAYAGTAGTCCAGAATTAAAATGGAAAATTCTTGGGGACAAGKAAATTAGCTCAATTTCAASGTCCATTCACATTCGTTTAACGCATTGCAGGGCRTGGTATACCCAGAGCATAATAAAATTAATTATCTCATATGGGTATCTTTCAAGTTGTTTATTGCAATGTTAAGTTTAGATGTAATACAGCTACAGTTCCTTTTTATGTAATCATTTRTTTTAATTTAATTTTTTATTGAAATGTTGATGTAAAGTGTATTTTCAATTTAATTCATTTTCATTTTTTTTTTTGATTCGTTAATTCACTCATGTTAGTATAATGTTGTTACAAAGTTGTACAAGCTCTTTTTACCATGAGATTACTATTTCACCACCAGACCATTTGTATTTGATGCAATTCTRTATCACTTTGTTTCATTCCTTTGCAAAGTGAATACCAAACGGCAAACGAAATTCTTAAGAATCAAATGTATCATATAATGATTAATCATTCTGGCCTTTATTCCACCAGTGGGGATAAAACT